TCTTAGCAGGCTGTTGTCACCATCATATGGCACGAAGGCGAGTCGAACCCTCAGGTGTTCTTCTCTGACTCCCTTCCCTGCCTCCCATCTCCTCAGCTTGGACTCCTATCAGCTTTACTCCTCCTTCCTCTCCTCCTCCTCCTCCTCCTCCTCCTCCTCCTCCTCCTCCTCCTCCTCCAGCACCTCCTCTTCCTTCCCCTCCCCTCTTATTCCTTCCACTCCTCCTCCTCCTCCAGCGCCACCGCCTTGTCAGAGTCCCTGCTCAATTCTCTCCTCCTTCCTCTCTTTCCCCTGCCTGATCTTCCTGTTGTTGCCACTACTGCCGCTCCTCCCATTTCTCCTCGTCTCCTCTCCTCCTCCTTTGCCTCCTCCTTCCTCCCTTCTCCCTCCGTTCTCATGCCCTTCATCAGCTCAACACAACAGTCTATCACGTCGCGTCCAACATCGTCCAAACATTCTGGTAAGCCGCCCAATCTCCTCTCCTCCCCCTCCCTCCCCCTCCTCCTCTCCCTCTTTCCACCTTCTCTTCCTCTCAGCTTCTTCTGCTCTGCCCTCCCACTTCCCTTCTCTTCCTCCTCCTCTTGCTTTCACTGACTCTCTTCCTCACGATCAGGCCGGACGAGCCTGAATGTCCATGGTGGGGATGGGAATCGCAACTTAACGAGGTCAGGAAGAGGAAGAGAGAGGGGAAGGGAGAGAAAGCCGATGGATGTAGCGGATCAGGATGAAACACACGGAGGAGCGAGGAGTTAGAGCAAGAGGGGACAAGGAGAGCACGAGCAGGGGCGAGGAGGAGATGAGTAGCACCACCAGCAGCAGGAGAGGAAGGCGGGAGAGAGAGGGGGGAGTGAGAGAGGGCGAGGGAGAGCGAGAGCGAGAGGAAGAGCGAGAAGAGGGGGAGTGAGGGGGAGAGAGGGGGAGAGCGAGAGCGAGAGCGAGGGAGGGGGAGGGGGAAAGGAGGGGGAGGGGGAGGGGGGGAGGAAGAGCAAGAGCGTGAGCGAGGGAGAGGGAGAGGGAGAGGGAGAGGGAGAGGGAGAGGGAGAGGTAGTGTCGGTTCGTCTCACCATCCTCCAGGTCATTCTCAGGGAACTTCCTCCTGCTAAGTCCCGCAAGTGCCCGCGCAGGTGACGGCAGCTGGGGAGGATGCTAGTGCTGACGTGGCAGCAGGAGTTACCTCGATGGGTACGTGGGAGGTGTAGATGTGAACTACTGAGAGGAGCCGACGGTTGTAAATAGATGGAATCCTGCTCCTGCCTCCTGCCCCTGCTACTACCTCGTGTTCCTGCTCCTACCTCCTCCTACCTCCCGCTCCTCCTTCTCCTCCTCCCTCTCATATTCCTACTACGGCTGCTCCTGCATCTTCTGCTTCTCTTGACCCCTCTCCTCTCATTCTCCTCGTCCGCACGTCACCCGCCCGATTACTCTCTCGCTTCTCTTTCCTCCCATTTCCTCTCCTCATCGCCGCTCCCCTTCCTCGCGCCTCAATTGCTCTGCTCAAAGGACAACCCTCCTCCTCTCCTGCAAACTGACACTGCGAACTCGGCTCTGTCATCAAACGCGTTTCAAAGTTTCCATCAAACGCGTTTCAAAGTTTCAATCCACACTATCTAGCAATACACGGGAAATTCAACTTCTATCCCCTCCGTCGCTTCCTTCCATCCCCCTCCTCCACTCAACCTCCCCGCCATCCCACCTCCTCCCCTTCTCCTCTCCTTCAGCTCAGGCCCAGATCCTGTCTGCGGCGTTATCGCATCCTGCCGGCCCACTCGCTCCGACTGGAACTACTGGTATGGATTCTCTTCCCCTGCCAGCGACGACCAAGATAGATCGCCTAGTGCAGCATGTGAGGCCGGGTAGGCGAAGCAGAAGGAGGAAGGAAGAGTAAGCCGGAAGCTTCGAAAGTCCACAAAGTGGACGAAGCAAGAAGAGTGGGGAGCAGGAGCAGGAGCAGGAGCAGGGGCAGGGGCAGGAGCAGGAAAGATAAAGAGGGTAGACGAGGAGGAGGAGGAGGCAGTAAGGCAACTCACCCGGACCGTAGGAACCGTACAAGGGCATCTGATATGGAGGGATTCCTGGTTGGGATTCGTAAACATCTCGCGCCCACATGGCGTTATAAGTATGTCCTGTGATGCAAGTCAGCCATGTCGTTCGGTCAAAGTGCGATCATCTCCATCTTCATCTCCATCATCAGCACAATCACCGCCATGTTCATCGTTAACCACAAGAGTATCAAAGCACTTCATACACCAACGTCATTTCTCGACATTGCAAGAACAAAACTCCCCCCAAAATCTCATCCTGCCCACCACCAGCATCACCTGACGGGTTGGGATACTCCGGGTAATAATCAAAGCTGTAGTCGTTGGGCGCAACATAAACAGCCTTGGGGTCACCGTACTGGTACACTCCAGTCTCAGGATGGAAGACAGGAGGGTTGGCTGGGCAGTTGATGCCCGTGTTCGACGACCAGCGCTGGTATAGCGCGACATTGCACGAGGGAGTACATCCGTTGCTCACGAAGCACTTGCAGGTGGATATAGTTCGCAGCTCTGTCGCCCTAAACGGCGAGACCTGGTACATGTTGGAGGTCAGCGCCTCAGAGGACTTGATGCAGGCCATGGCTGTGTCGTAGCAGATCTCCGCAGACTCTCCTCCTCCACACTCAAACTGAACTTGGTGAGGAAGCATCTCCGTGGTGCCATTGACAGCATAGCGCTCGCGATCCGACGTACAACCCCTCCAGCTCGAGCATTCAGTGTAGTTGGTGGCGTTGCCCGTTGCGGAATCTGCTGCCATCGCCTCCGTCGCAGCTGCCAACTGCATACCGAGCGCAGCCTTCCATGCAGCTCGTGAAGCTCCCTTGGCCCTGACCCGCATCCCTCGTCCGAAGGCGCTGGCTGCTGCCATAGCCTGCCTGTGCCTGGCTGCTGAGCCAGAGCGCATCTGGCGCTGCCATGCTGAGGGAACCGACAGCATCACTGCTCTACCTCCTCCTCTTCTGACGGTCTGCGACGAAGCAAGGAAGATCACCATGATCAGGGCGGCCCCAAACCCAGCAGCCGCTGCCACCACCATCGCTGCCCCCCCCCGAGCACTCCTCGCCATCGTGACTGCCTCTTCGTGAAACAGTTACAGATCCGTTAAAACTTATGTTTCCGTTATGATCCGTTGTTTCGAGTTCCGAAACTTGTTACGGTGAGAGCGCGGGGATGAGGGCACGTACCGGAGCGGGTGCGGAAAGTACCCCCACCCCCTATGTCATGACGAAAGGGAAGGAGATGTACGGGTGATGTATTAAAAATCGTTTTTGGGGTCGTAAAACAGTGTCCTGGTAGTTGTTTTTAAATTCTTAAAAATATTTATGGAATTGGTGAAAATGAGGGTCCTGAAAACGTTAAAACAAGCTAAAATAGGGTGGTAGGGTGGTAGTGATAAAATGCCCTTGTAGAACCGAACAGTAAATTACTTCAAACGTCCTGAAAATAGAGTGTATCATCAAAAATTTTATTTAAAGGGACATACTATAATCTAAAAGTTATTTTTAGTATTTTAGGGTGCCCTACTCATAAAAGCTTCTACGAGATTTATCTTTCTTAAAAATATGTCTAATGAGTCTTTTGAACCATTATAATATATGTAATATAATATATATTTAAGTTTACAAGCTATTTTAATATCGCCGGTTGGGGCCAAAACCCACAAAAACAGCAAGAGCACCCCTACCTCCAATCGAACAACCCCCCCGGGATTGGAACCCCCCTTCCTGAAACATACCCACTGATTTGAACAATTACTGCAGTCAGACCCTATCTTTCCCATGTACAAGTAGGGGTACTTGTTCTGCATTGTGAAACTCTACCCCAACTTGTCATTAATTCCGTGACCCCCACCCACCCTTGCTCTTCCGTCCCCCGTTACCTCTTCTCCTCCTCCCATGTCCCTTACACCCCCGTGATGATCCCACAAGGTACCCCCACCCTCGTCATATTCACCCTACCCCCTTGCGTAACACTCCACTGAATGACTAATAGGACCCCCCTGTGACCCACCTTACTGCAAACTTGTCAACATATGACCACCCTCTCGGATCGAGTCTCCCATCCCCTCTACTACCCCTGTCAAATTGCCCAACCACTCAGTCGAGTACCCCCAACATTTCATTTCTACCCACAAAATTTCAGATGAAGTATCAGGTAACAACTGAAAATATTGAACACCCCACCCACTCGTAGGCAATGGGCGACTACTTTAGACGCATCCATTACCCCTACCCCCATGATTCCCAGAGTCTTTTCATACGTTCCACCCCAACCCCCGTACCTCCAGGATTCCACTACCCCCACCCGTACCAAATGAACCACTACCCCCTTTTTGTCACCCACCCCTTAAGCCTGTCACCTCCCAACACTCATAATGAAGCTCTTTCAATGGCAGCAAATCACCGAACATGCCGCCGCCGCTCTATCTCAGCCGCATTCTATGCGAAATCCCCTGCATTCATCCTCACCATTCCTCGCTCCTAGTTTCTTCCTGCCTCCCATGCCGATGATCTTCCTGTTGCATCCTGCCTTGCCATGGCTGCACCAGATCACCAGCTCCGATCCTCCTGTCTCTACCATTTCATTCTCGTCAAGATGCTGTTCCATACACTCTGTCTTGTTCTGGTGTTTGTTTTGCATGTACCTGTTCAGAAAGGAGCGCCAATCATTGCCCCCTGATGCCGAATTTTCCTCACACATGCACGTGCAAGAATCGATGACGTTGCTGGATCCAGACGTATCGATCGCTTGATCTGGTTGCGTTCCCTCCATCTGTACTGTTTGGCTTCCCCTCTCTTCATCTCGGATCTCATTCTACATCTCCCGCACCCCTGAATTTGCTGTCAGAACATGTGTATCTGTCCTGAGCTCTCATTTTCCCATGCGCCCGCTGCGGTATACCGTGCATTCTTGTAGGATGTTTCATGCTCAACTCCGCTGCTCCTGATTGACGAGGTTTCCTTATCTGAATTTGCCCCCTCTTCCTCAGGTTTCTCGCGTGTCCTGGCACAAATTCCAAGGAGGGGTTTCCCCGCAAAGCAATCCCTAGGTATCAAGTACTTCTGCAGACAGTGATGAAAGCTCTTTCTTGTACCTTCAAGACCAGGAGCATCGTCCTGGTTTGTAATTGCTACATCCTCTTGTCCTCTGTGAGCCTGCTGGTTGGGGCAAGCTGCACATCCGATGCAAGCTGCGGCATGGCGGGGGGGCTCGGGCTGGGGAAGCGATGGAACGGCATCCTAAAGGCGCTGGAGAATTCCTTCAAGGCCCACAAGGAGAACCTGAGCAGCGTCAAGAAAGACTTCGAGGAGTACTGCAGTGCTCTAGAGAACATCAAGGGAGCGAGCGTGATCGAGTCGCTGCCGCGATCGCCGCCGGTGGAGATCAGCTCCAAGTTTGCTGAGTTGCGGAACCATCACGTCAAAGGGATCCTGGACGAGCTGGACAGGAATGGGGAGGACAACAGCATCTCCTCAGTCACCCCGGGGCCCGACGGATCCCCGAGTCCCCCGGACTTGGTGAACGCCAAGGTCTCGAGACTGACGCAGGTGTCACGCGCTGATCCGCCAAGGTTGACGAAGTACACGAGGAGGACGTCGATGGAGGACATTGTCGTTCCTGATGTGCATTATGAGAAGCCGGTGGAGGAGATTGTTTGCTTTCTCGACATCGACAAGTGCTCGATCTACGGTGAGAGTGCCGTGCGTTGCGATGATGAGCTGGTGATGGTGATGGTGATGGTGATGGGAACATGATAATTGCGATGTTGATGATTGCGATGTTGATGATTCCCCAGGGCAAGACGGAAATGACCTGGCAATTGCCATGCAGTGGATGCAGAAACCATTCCCTGTCCTTGTAGAGCTTTATCGGCGACTCCTCAACCCTCGTCTCAAGTCAGCACACATAGCTCATCTCCCCTCCTTATCCCCTCACACTCCTCCCTCCCCCCCCTTCCCCTGCCCTCTCTCCTATCTGCCCTGTTCTTCCTTTGTATCCCTCCTTCCCCGTCTCTCCTCCCTCCTCCCTCCTCCCTCCTTCCTCCTCCCTCCTCCCTCCTCCCTCCTCCCTCCCTCCCTCCTCTCTCCTCATCTGATTCTTGAACTCCCCTACAGGCAACTGTTTTCCCAACTTCGAATGACCGTAAAGAATCTCCCGGTCGTTCTCTACACCATGAGACCTCAGCTGCTCCAGTATCGGTGACGACGCCCGAGCAAGTGCAGAGGAGAGGTGCTAACGTGCAGTGCTTGCGCAGCTCTGCTTGCAGAGAGGAGAGGTTCACGTTGAGATGGAAGACGGAGTGGCATCATTCGGTGGACCAGGTCGTTCCTGTCCTCGTTGTCCTCTCTTGTTGAAGTCCTGTCAGGTCCTCATTCCCACCGACATCTCTGATCCTTCGGAGATCTTGGCTGAGTACAGCGGAAGGTGAGAGAGTGAGAATGGGGGAACGGGAGGGAGGGAGGGGGGGAGAGAGAGCGGGGGAGGGAGGGGGAGGATGAGGGTTGGAGGAAAAGAGAAACGTGGGGGAGGGAGGGGAGGAGGGGGAGAGGGGGGGCGGGGAGTTTCCTCCTGACTCGTCAGAGCTGCCTGACGTCTCCTCATCACAGTGTCTCCTTGTGGGATCCTGAGAAGCAGGACCTGTACATGTCGTTCCAGCGTTTGCTTGGTGACTTACAGCCTTGTCCTCTGCACTTCTTCCTCCTCTACCTCTCTACCACTTGCCGCATCCCTTCCCTTCCCTTCCATTCCCTTCCCTTCCCTATCCTCCATCTGTCCGTTCTTCTCCCTACTCTCTGTCTTTCCTGTTTTCGCTGCATTTTCGCGATGTTGATCGGAATGTTCAGCCATCCGTCAAGTCATCCAAGAAGAGCTGGAACTGGAGAGCGTTCCTGAGTTGGTAGGACGATCATGATGATGGAATGATGATGACGGAGGAGGAGGAGAAAGTTATGATGATGCTGTTGATGATGAAGAACAAGCAGAATTGAGAGACGAAGAAGATGCTGATGATGGTATGATGCAGGTGGTCACCTCGGTGATGAAGGATGTACAAGGAACAGCGGTAAGACCATGAAGGGGAAGCAGAAGAGTAGGAGGCAGGAAGGAAGGAGGACGAGGAGGACGAGGACGAGGACGAGGACGAGGACGAGGAGCAGGAGGAGGAGCCTCTGACGGATTGTGCAGATCAAACTTGGGCATCGACCAGAGAAATGCTATTTGTGGGATGACAACCAAGTGCTGGAGGGACAACCACACGGTGATGATGAATGTGGTGGTGGTGGTGGTGGTGATGATGATTACATGTTGTTTGTTGTTAATTGGTTTCTTGTCCTCCTGCTCGTCCTCCAACACCACCTCATTGTTATCTCCCCTCTCACTCTCCTCCTCCTCGGCCTACTTTTCCTTCTGACATCTGCTTGCTAGTTCTCACCGTCGAGCCTTTCGTCGCAATGGATCCCCATGGGAAGAATTCCCTGCTGCAATTCCTTCGAGACGAGGTCATTCATCTTCACACTCCCTCCTCCTCGCCCTCCACCACCTCCTCCTCCTCCTCCTCCTCCTCCTCCACCACCACCACCACCACCACCACCTCCTCCTCCTCCTCCTCCTCCTCCTCCTCTCCTTTCTCTTCCTTTTCTTCTCACTTTCCGTCTCTGCAGCTTCCCGAGCACGAGCTGACTGAAGAAGTCGCTGAGTTCATGATTGGCGCCAAGCCGGAAATGCGATCGTTGGTCGAGAGCGAAAACTGCAACGGTGAGGAAGATGAACATTCATGATGATGATGATGATGATGATGATGATGATGATGATGATGATATTATGTTCAATGTCACGATGTTGATTGGTTTCCTGATGATGGAAATGAGAACGGGAAAGAGAAGTTTGAAGAGGTTGAGAATGCGGATGTTGATTGTGGTATTCAGTGTTCATTTTCTTGTGCTCCCATGGACTCTCTTCCTTCATTTCCATTTCCTCCCCTTCTCATTCTTTCTCCTCCAGGTTTTCAATACCTCGTGCACGAATGTAATGAGATCAATCGATTTCCCATCCCCGACCTGCCGGTCTACTACACTCGACCAAGATACACAGGTAGAGGAGGTGATAGGAGGAGCCAATCTAGAGTAACGTTGCTTCCTTCCTCCTCGTCCTCTCTCCCTCCTGCTCCTCCTCCTTCCTCGTCTTCTCTCCCTCCTCCTCCTCTCCTGCGACTTGTCGCCTCCCTCTACAGAGATGCAAACCTTCCGAGAGGCGATGAGAGAGAAAGACGCGAACAAGGAGGGAGGATACAACAGGTTGGTGAAAGAGAATTTATCGCTTGCTCCTCCTCCTCCTCCTCCTCCTCCTCCTCCTCCTCCTCCTCCTCCTCCTCGTCCTCCTCCTCCTCCTCCCGTATCTTCGACTTGTCTTTAATTTCTCACTCAGCGCCATCATCGAGTTCTGGACACCACGAGGAGTTTTAGAACGAGACGAGCAGGTGAGAGGGGAAGCAGCAGGGGAAGGAGAGGAGTGAGGGGACAACGAGGAGGACGGGGAGGAGGATGAGGGGAGGGAGGTGAACGGTTGTATCTTGCTAACGCTTCAGCAGTTGGAGGCTCTCCATCAATGGCAGGAGAAAGTTGAGATGATATGGTGAAGGCCGTTGGTTCTGTCTTGTAGACTAGTGTACATACGTGTGAGATAATCGACATGCTTTGTTGTGTTAAAACGAACTTGTTTGCGTCCTGTTGCGGCTTTGACATGAAAGGGAGGGAGAGGGGAGGGGAAAGAGTCAACTTGTGAGTTGATCAGGACGACGGGAGCGAGGATGGGGAAATGAAGAAATGAGAGGAATGGGCGTTGGTTGGTAAGGATGGGGGTATTGGGTAGTGGGGACACAGTAGGCTGACAGAGCAGGTGCAGGTGCAGGAGAAAAGGAGCAGGAGCAGGGGCAGGGAAAATCTTCACACGTAATCTTTCTTATACAAGGAGCTTCAGCTAACGTCTCAATCCAAGTAGACGGTCCAGCCGTAGGGGTCAGGCACTTTGCCGGTCTGGTGAGAAAGTCAGAGGGGATAAAGAGGGAGGGGAGGAAAAAAGATAAACAAATGAAGCAGCGCAAGAAAACAAAAGGGCAAGCAGGAGCAGCAGCAACGACAATCACAGCAGCAGCAGAAGCAGGAATGAGGAGCAGCAGAACCAAGAGCAGGAGCAGGAGCAGGAGCAGGAGCAGGAGCAGGAGCAGGAGCAGGAATGACCTGGATGCCGGTCAAGGTGGAGTAGATCTTGGAGGTCGCAGGTCCAGCTCCCTCCTCGAACTTCCACGACCAAGTCTCACCCTTGTAAGTGACGGCGCCGATGGGGGAAACCTGAACACCAGCAGGTGAGGACGAGAGCACGGGCGACAGAAGAGGAGCGAACAAGAAGACGACGACTAGGTGAGGGTGAAGGAGGAGGAGCAGCAGCAGCAGCAGCAGCTCACCACAACGGCGGTTCCGACGGTGAAGGCCTCGTCTGCCTCCTTAAGGAGGGTGAAGGGTACCCTATCCTCGACGACTTCGTAACCAGCGTCCTTGGCAACCTGAACAAGAGGGAAGATCAGGACAAGGATAGGAGCTGGTGCAGGGGCAGGGGAGTTGCAGAGGCGAGAGCAGGGGCAAGATGAGGGGTATCAAGAGCTTCAGGAGGGTGAGGAGAAAAAGAAGGAGAAAAAGGAGGAGGAGCAGGAGGAGGAGCAGGAGGAGGAGCAGGAGGAGGAGCAGGAGGAGCAGAAGGAGGAGGAGGAGGAGGAGGATCGCTGTAGAAATCTCAGGATTCCTGACCTGGATGACGCTGTCACGAGTGACACCCTCGAGGATGGTGTCCATGGGGTCTCCTCCTCCCTTGAGGGCGGGAGTGTAGATCTTCTTGCCCTTGACGACGAAGATGTTGGAGGTGCCAACCTGAGAGGAGAGTCAGAGGGAGACAGGGAGAGTCAGAGGGAGAGCGAGAGAGCGAGAGGGAGAGGGAGAGCGAGAGGGAGGCAGGAAGAGGAAGAGGAAGAGGAAGGGGCAGAGGAAGAGGAAGAGGCAGAGGGGGAAGGGGGAAAGGGGGAGGAGAGGGGGAGGGCACGGGGGGATCGCAAGGCTGATGTCTTGACCTCCTCGAGATACTTCTGCTCCGACGCATCCAAGTAAATCACATTGTCAAACCCTTCCTTCTTGGCGATGGTCTGCGCCCAACACGTCAGGCCCTGCCCCCCCCTCGCAGAGCCGATACCTGAGGGAGGAGGGAGGCAGCGTAGTTCCCGACGGCCTTGATCCCTCCCGATCCTCCCTTGGCAGCCCTGGAGTACGCGTGCTCGATCTTGAGCTTGATGGGGGAGAGCTGATTACCCTTGAAGTACGACCCCACAGGGGACACGTACACGAGGAATGTGTAGCTGGGAGCGGGAGCAAGCCCAAGGATGGGCCCAGTCCCGATGATGAGGGGGCGGATGTAGAGCGATCCCTTGCCGCATGGCGGCACCCAGTTGGCATTGGCCAGCACACAGCTCTTGATGCTCTCGACAAAGGTATCCTCGGGCACAGGGGGCATGCATAACCTCTCGCAGCCATAGCGGACGCGCCGCGCGTTCTTGTCAGGGCGGAAGATGACGATCCTGCCGTCCTCGGTCCTCTGAGCCTTCATGCCCTCGAAGACTCCCTGCCCGTAGTTCAAGACTCCAGCACGCGGCGAGATCTCGAGCGGACCGTAAGGTTTCACTTCAGCCTTGCCCCATCCTGCTCCCTCAGTCTTGCACACAGTCATGAAGGAGGTCTCGATCGATCCCCATGGCTTCTTGCCGAGCTCCTCCCAGTCCATGGCCGTCGGCTCATGCTCCTTCCTCGTTCCACTCGCCACCATGCTCGCTCCAAGAAAACGCCTCCTTTCCGAACGGGGTGAGAACTGAGAGACAGGACTACGGAGTGAGGAGGAGGAGGAGGACAGGAAGGAGGGACGGATCCCTGCTCCTCTCATCGGTACATTGAAGGCTCCTGCCTCTTCTCCCGCCATCATCGCCGCCGCCATCGCGGCCCACCACACTGCCCGCATGCTTTCGGCCTCTAACGACACCACCCCGTAGATCCACCCTAGTTGGAAACCACCCCACCACCCTAGGGTCCTAAACACCAATTGCACCCACCCCTGCAATTGGAACATTTCCTTATTGAAAGTACCCCACCCTTCTGTAAAAACTGGGTACCCGACAATCACCACCACCCAGTTCACTACTACCCTACCCAGGAAGGATTCATACTGACATTCCCCAAAACCCCACCCCTCCTCCCCCCCCAGGAGCTTTATTAGATACTACCCCTACCTACTCATATCCCTGAATTTACCCCTCTTTGCCTCCGACACTCTGTCTACCCACCCGGTGGTATGACATGAAGGAGCCCACCCCACCTACCCTACATTTCTCCCTTTGGAGTACGGGTAACCATCAACACCCGTAGCAAATTGCAGGTAGGGGTAGGGGTATGTGATATGGGGTAGGGGAAAGGGGGGTGGGTAAGGGGTGTTTACGCAATGATGAGGGTGTGGTGAATGAGGGTGATGAAATGATTGTGCGGGGATGAGGGTAAGAAATTTGGAGGATGAGGTCACACTAGGGGAAGACAAGAAAAATGCTGGGGGCCGGGCGGGTGGGGGGCGGGTGATGGCGGGAACAGGGAGGAGGGGAGAGGAGAGGAGAGGAGAGGAAGAGAAGGAAGAAGGTTGTATGATGCTCTTCTGCTGCTTACTGAAGCTCTCTCCTTCAGGGCGCGGAGGTCAGGCAAGACCGAGGGCTTCATACAGGAAGGGAGAGGAGGTACAAACAGCATTTCTGCATAGTTGCGCAAGGGCAGACTGTGGAGACTGGACTTCTTCGTTGTACAATGAGCGCAATGGAAGGAGGAAGCTCGCACAATCCTCAGCCACAGGAAGTTCTTCCTCCAGGCAATGCAGACGTAAGTCAACAGGCGCATGCGCAGGGCCACGGGGAGTCCGGAGAAAGATGGGAAACGAGCAGGAGACGATGCAGTGGGGATGCAGACAGGGCGGTGGTAGTGAGATGAGGTCAAGGGAAGGATGGTTTGGACGGAGCAAGTGATGAGTTCAGCCGCGGTGTTGTGGAGAGGGGGAGGAGAATCTAGATGGGTTGCAGCCAAGGTTTGACTTGTTTCTGGCAGCATGGAACTCTGGGAGACAAGATCGTGATCGCGCTAGTTGGTCTTCCTGCCCGAGGAAAGACTTACATAGCAAAGAAGCTGCAGGTGGAGGTGGAGGCCGCTGGTGGCCATGGCTGACTGGGCTTTCCCTGTGTCCTAGCGGTACCTGTCGTTCTTCCATGGAGCGCCGACCAGAGTTTTCCACTTGGAGACGTACAGGAAGAAGAGATTCAGCGAGAGGAACGAGAGCGACTTCTCGTTCCTCTCCGACGAGACGAAGGAGAGGGAGGTGAGGGTAGGGACATGGCGGGCGTGACGGACTGACGGGACGTCAAAGGTGTGCGTGTTGGACGCGCTAAACGACATCAAAGACTTCATTGAGGTGAGCGGAGCGATCAGAGCATGAGCGGGGAGCGATGCGGATGCTGCCGATGCTCCTTCCTTGAGATGTCGCTGTCCGCTCGAATGCTCGCTTCTCTGCGCTTGACTGCCCTCTTGAACCTGCTTCCTCCTGATTTTCCTCCTCTTCTCCACTGCACACCATTCTGGAGCATTACTCTCGCTCTGCTCCTGCCTTGTCCTGCTCAATCCTTTCCTCTCAAATCCTCACCTACTCTCTCCTCTTTCCCTTCTTCCCGTTCCTCTCCTCCTTCCCTTCCCCCCCTGCCTCTCCTCCTTCCCTTCCCCCCCCCCTGCCTCTCCTCCTTCCCTTCCCCCCCTGCCTCTCCTCCTCCCCTTCCCTTCTGTATCCCCTCTAATTCTCCTCGCCTCGCAGGCGGGAAGGACAAAGGGCTTGTTGCCATCTTCGACGCTACCGACGGGACCAGATGTCGCCGGAGGTGGCTCGTGGACGAATTGAGCCCGATCCTCCAGGTTCCGCTCTCCTCCTGCTCCTCTTCCTTCAGTGACAGGAGGGGCAGTCCAAGTCCAACATCATCTTTGTGGAGTCCGTGTGCGAGGATCAGACGATCGTCGAGCAGAACATCAGGTGAGGGCTGGTGTCTGTGCGAGTGAGGGAGAGGGAAGGTTGCCGACTGACCCTTCCCTCCTCGCTTCCTCTCCTTGTCCCTCCTCCTCCTTGTCCCTCCTTCTCCTCCCTCTACTCCTCCCACTCCTCCTCCTCCTCCCACTCCTCCTCCTCACTCCCACTCCCTCCCCTCCCCATTCCTCTTTCATTCTCCCAGGGCCACGAAGTTAAACCTGCCGACCTACCATGGCATGTCGGAGGACAGCGCGATCGAGGATTTCCGCAATGTATGCGAAGGCGGGAGGTGGGAGCAGGAGCTGACGATGGTCGCGAGCAGAGGATCCTGAACAACACAAGTCACTACCAGACCATGTGTGAGGCAGACAAGGACTTCAGTTGGATCAAGACTGTTGACGGGGGGAAGCAGGTGATTGATTGTGTAGGAACCTGCCCTCTACTGTCATCCTCCTCCTCTCCCTCTTGGGCTTTTACTCTCCTCACCTCTCCTCTCCCCCTCGCTTCCCCTCGTCTTCACTCTCTCTCTCTCCCTCTCCATCTCCCTCCCCCTCCCCCTCTCCATCTCCCTCCCCCTCCCCCTCTCCCTCTCCCTTCCTCCTCTCCTCCCCTCTCCCCCTTCCGCTTCCAGCAACCTCTCAAGGCAACTTCCCAGGTCGTCTTGAACAAGATCTTCGGGTACCTCCCCGGCCGCATCGCCTCGTTTGTCATGAACCTGCACACGACTCCCAAGAGCATCTACCTCACCCGCCATGGCGAGAGTAACTACAACGTAAAGCAGAAGATCGGAGGAGATACAGAGCTTTCTCCACATGGCGAGGAGTTCGCTACCTGCCTGGCCAGGTGGGTGCAGGACAACGTGGTAAAGCACCATCCGAGAGCAAGGCTCTGGACAAGCACGCTCCGTCGCTCCATTCAGACAGGTGAGGAGGAGCAGGAGGAGGAGGAGGAGGAGGAGGAGGAGGGAGGCAGAGAAGGAAGGAGGAGAGAAGAAAGGAAGAAGAGGGGTTGGGGGAGGACGGAGGGAGGAAAGAGGAAGGGGGAAGAGAGAGCAGGAGACAAGAGAGCAGGAGGCTAGCGCGAACATGTCTTCCCAGCCCGCCACATCAGGCAATGATAAAGTTTTGATCAAGGGGGAATCTTGGATC